CGTAAGTTCGGGGTTATTTTAAGAATATAAGCATTATGCTATTTCGAACAAGTGATGAGTAAATTCGTGAAGGTGAGAGGGTAAGTAAATCGAAGAAAACGAATTTCGTCGATGTTTGACAAATTAGGGTAAAATACGGTTTGAGCTATAATACCCGATATTTATGGACTAGTGCCATACAAGGTACCACATGACCATAATAGTAAGGTATAAAAAGTGTGTTAAAGCTATTATTCCTGGATACTGAATCCCTGCGCTTCTAGCCTTTTATCCGAAGTATGGACTATTCACAACCTTCTGCATCTGAGTATTTCGTATGTTGTTCACCTTTACCTTACTACCTTAAAATCTTGCATCGTATCTTCTATTTCTTTCATGACCTCCCTTCCACATAGGTATAATTCACGTCCATAACTTGAAGCTCTATTATAATACTTGCACCTCTGGTGCATACACAATCCGATGGAAGATTTGTGCTGACTTCTTATGAGGCTGGTACTTTTTTAACTGGCTTCATTGTAGGACTGTCATGGAATATGGTTTTTGTACTTTCTCTCTTGTACCTCTGATATTAAGATTGGTCCTGCAATGTTCTCAATCACGATTTCCATAATTTTCTGGGTCCAATAATATGACTCCTAATTTACTTGGTTGATGTAATTCTTTAGTTTCCTCTTCCTTCTGATCAGCATTTATGTAGGCTTAAGCTTCTTCCGATCTGCGGCTCATGGTATTAGTTATTACTTTAGCCTTTCATGGGTGTTATGGAATATTCATGATACAATCTTCTAACAACTCAATCCTTTATCTATGCCTTGGGATCAATTCTTTCTTTTAACTTATACTGGAGTTGTCAACATATATGCTGCATGTATAAAATTCTGAACTCTTAAGTGCGTTCATAACATACTCTGGGTCATTAATCGAATAACTCTTAAGCAATTACTTTTCCTCGTCTTTCTGCCCCTTGTTGCGTGCATACTTAGCTTACCTTAGTGCCCACACACATTGGAATTCCATACAACTCATATGATCTTGAATATCACTTGTGATTTTACTTCTCGTTCATTAGCCACGGTAGGTGCCATTTTCTTATGGAGTGCATACAATGTTATTATGAGACTATTGTTATAAGACCATTTCCTCTTTAGGTTACTGTGCTTAGGTTGAAGCCTTCTTCCTTATTTCCTCAACTAGTCTTTCATTGTAGTGCTTAGGGAGACCTTCTGGCTCTTGTAAATTACAAGCTTGTTATATCGTTTACCCGACATAATCTTTTTGATGTTCGTACTCACCTATAATCATCCTTAATTACTTACCTCCACATTCATGTGCTCGTATGGTTGTTTCTGAACTGAAGTTTTGACTATCTTCTCTATGGGACTCTCTTTTATTCCCATAACACTCATACAGTATCTTTAACTACCCCAACTCCTATCCGAATATTTCTCAAGGATCACGATGTCATGTCTGCGAGACTGAATTCCCCATGTTGTCACTATGTTTATTTTGCACGATCTGTTGATTTGTCTGTATCCTCTTATCTAGCCATAACTAGGCTCTTCCTGGATCAACTACTAAATACTCGTTGGCCCATTCTCATATAAATATTCCGCGTAATCCTTCTTGGGTCATTTCCTTTGTCTTAACTTACATCCCGTTCTGGCTCCTTATCTATCAATAACATCTCGGGCAGGAACCCTTACTTCCTCTCCTTGACATCATGTTTGCATAATGTTCTGGAGTCGTAGCATATCCGTAGGATTTAAATAAGTGCAATATAATTCCTTTCTCATTTCTATCGCATTCTTCCTTTACCATTCCATAGTCACTAGAATCACTTAATTCTGACTTAATGCCACATCACTCTATATTCCCCCCTTTAGGGGAGTACTAAGATTTAGAGCGACGACGATCTACCTATAGATATTTTACCTCTTCCTCTTTGGCATCTTTTCACATCATCGATGACCTTTTCCTGCCTTGCGGTAATCCTTCTATAATAAGGATAACAAAATTCTTTATCCACAAGGGTGAGACTTAGTGTAACTGGCACACATAATCCCTTAAGCTTAACTTTGCTCACATTGCTTGCTTTAGGGAAGCGTCTTCCCGAATGACCTTTAAAGGTTATTCTTCTATCGTCCATTCTATTATCGCTGGAACGCAATCTCTAAAATTTTCATGATGCCGACTATTATAAAATCACTCAGTCCCTAATTCTTGCTTAGTTTATCTTGTTCACCGGTCCATACTGATTTCTATTACTCTGGGGTCTAACGTTTCCTCCTGGTAATCACGTTAGATTCACGAACTTATTTCTCAAAATGAGGATATGACTTTATGGCCTATACTCTTTTGTTGTCTCAAGGCCTGGCTCCTCTCGTCTTTTCCTTCACTTGAATATATATTCTCTAATACTGTCATTTTTATTTTCTACCTTTGTCATCCATGCATCACATCTTACTCATAATGCTTCATTAACTCTCTTCTCATTTCCTGCTAACATTTCTGTCTATCACTTTATTTTGAAAATTTCAAAAGGACATTCTTTTGCTTTTAGCTCCCCTTGCTCCATCTACTGGCTCTTCGGGTTGCCTAACATTCTTTATTTACTAGGGACGGGAGCCACACTAAGATAATATTTATCCCTTCCAGGCTTCCAGTGCCTATCTCTGAAATATCCTACGGAAATGTCAACTAACACAAACAATACATCCACTATTTTGGGTTACTCTAACCCCAACCGGATCCTGATATCCCATCCTTTTCATAAACTACACCTGTTAGCCCCCATAGGGCATAACTGAGATGGGTGTGGCAAATTATACATACCTCTGTTACTGTTGAAGGTAACTCACAATGCTTATGTTTTTCTGCCTGGGTTGTAAATACCGATAATCTTCATGAACTGGGTACCTCGTACCCTTCTCATCTTGCTCCTTTTACTTGTTGAAGCTTGTATCTACCTTCTGAATCTCTCGTTGCTTTTTGCCATATGGGTGGATAGATATTCATTCCTTAGGGCTCCTTTTCTAGAAGCTCATATGTCTTAGTACACACATGATCTGCTTGAGACCCTATATTTACTCATCATAAGCATGATGCAAATTCGAGTTCCTCCAACTCAACTCTTTCATAGCCGCATTCAATCCCTTACCAACTGTCCTTCTTGATGTAGGTATCGTTATATTATGAATAAAATAGAATTTAGGAATGTGAATTCTTATAAGTGAGCTCTACCACACGATCTAGAACAAGAATAAAAAGTGACAGTCCTAAATGCCCTGTAGCCTCCTGTTTATAAGTATGGTGCATGACACACCCATAAACAAGTCTCTAATAGACACGGCTTGTAGACTCCCTACGATAGAACTGCTCTGATACCACTTTTGTCACGCCCCGAACCTAGGGGGCGAGACCGGCACCCGGTGCCTCACCTATCCTTGCATACCAACTTGCGACTAAGGGACTCTGAACATATAATATCATACTTTAGCCATGGGCCACATTGAAAGACAACTGCGAATGCTGACTAAACATCAATATAAAGCTGGCCGACAAGGCCGTCATAACTACTACGGCTGGCAAAACAACAAAATATACATAAAAGGCCTACAAGCCCAACATACTGCACTAACTGACAGGATATGTCCACAAGCCTCTACTGATGGATATACTATGATCGGAATAGGGTCTCGACCTACTCATAACATATATACATAAGATGTACATAAAGCTCTAGACCCAGCAACTCCAAAGGGCATGGAGCTTACCGATCAAGCTGAACTCGGGCAACACCTAATAGAGAGGTCTACCCGTCTGTCTGTCTGAGCCCGCATGCATAAAATGCAGCGCCCCCAGAAAAGGGACGTTAGTATGAAATAATGTACCTAGTATGTAAGGCAATATACTGAAAGCTGAAACTGAACTGATAATATAATAACTAAAAGTAACTGGGAATCAAAGATAATCTGAAGATATACTTACCTGCTGATACTGACTCAACTCTCTCAATATAGTAAGTATAATATCTGTATGGCCCTATAAGGCTCGGTATATATGCAACTGCTCTACCATAGTAGGCTCTCTCATAGGCACTCGGCCATACTAGGCTCTGTATCTCAGCCAATTGGGCTCGCTCATAGGCATTCAGCCATAGTAGGCTCGGTATATAACTTACTATCTGATTAGAGGTTGCCCAAAAGGGGCTTGCCCATCGATTATAGCTCGATGGTAATGAAAATACTGTAATACTGTGTATATAGGGTATCTGCTCTCTTGACTGGAAGAAGATAATACTCAATTAAATATGAAGTCCCGATAAGGAGAATACTGTAATTTATGAGACTAGGATAATGTATATAAATTCGGGAGTATGAACTTCTCTTTATTCCTCGTTATCAAAGACATGTAATTACGAGATCATGACAAAATGAAGGAAGGGCTTCGCCTTAACGTACCTGAGCCGACTCTCTTGACAATCTCTCTAATACACGTCAATTGCGACAACACGTAATGGCACATCGTAGTAGGGATTGCACCGTACTCCCTTAGAATTGCAAAATCCCGTTGCTACATTTTCATACGAATTTGTTGAGCATTCATCCGTTACTTTTTGTAGTGTAGTATGAACTTGATGAAGCAATTCACATTATTATTGAAAAATCTGATCATCGTAAGTGTGACCCTTCTTTATTTGGTGATTTTAGAGAATATTTTGTATTAGTGGGTATGGGCCCCACTTGTGGCTTAATTTGCCAAAGACACCTCCAAGTTTTGCCACCTTTTATTTGAATTCAAGAGTCATGTTTATGTAAGGTATTTGGCTGCCACGTTAATCTCCATTAGGCTTGTCCAAAACATTTTAATTAATTACCAATCCCTTTATTAACTTAGTAATTTCCCACTAATCCAGTCCTCGGCTTACCTTGTCTTAGAGACTACGTGCCATCACGAAGCCTAAGGTGAGATATTGGGTCGTGACACCATAGCACAAAATGGCGAGGTTCCAGACACCGGGAGTATTGCTAGTTTGTGGCGAGCATCCTATTATAACAACTAGACCTGAGATTATGCTTGCTATGTCTGCTGAGGATAAGAAGAAGCTAGATAGGTTTCAAAGGTTACATCCCCCTCACTTTGATTGTGACACTTCAAAGGATGACAAGGATTTTCTAGATCGATGCCATCAGATGCATTGCAATTTGGGTCTGGTAAAAGTCCAATGGAGTGGATGTCACAACATTTCAGCTAAGAGGAGTTGTCTAGTTAATCTCATCTTACTTGGACTTAGTTTTAGCACTTGTTTCCTAAGAGGTACATCCCACTCACCAGGAGGAATGTGTTTAGAGGCTAGTTCGATGATCTTCAGCAAGATCGTATGTTAGTTCCGGAGAATGAGGCAAGGTTCACAGAGTTATCTCATCATGCAGCCTTTTTGATCCCCACCGAGGCTTAAAAGGTGAGGCAGTTTATTGAGGGTTTGACTTACGTCATCAAGTTTGCTAAAGCTTGAGAGTCAAAGTTTGAGACTACTTTCCGTGAGGCCATGGAGATAGCCTGGAGCATCGATCATATTCGCAGTCAGGGGAGAGAGGCCATGATGAGATATAAGAGGCTATGTCATTCTATTAGTTTTAGTGGTGCCTCATTTGGAGGTAGGGCTTAGTCTAGTAAAAGTCATTATGGTAAGCCGACTTATTCTACTTAGCATGTAGCACGTGGTGCAGTCGCTCAATCATCTTTCGGCACTCCAATTCCATCATCTTTTCGTGTTGTTCTAGTCAATTCGTACTAGGCTCCATCTATTCGACTTATAATGGGCACTGGGCTCATTAGGGGCAATTCCAGGTTCAGTAGACTCACTCAGGCAAAGGTTGTTATGAGTGTAGAGACTTTGTACATGTGAGGAAGTATTGCCCCATATATGGTAGAGGCACAACTCCACAGAGTTCTCAGACACTGGCTCCCACACCAGTTGCATCACCCCTACCTAGTCAGCTAGAGGGGGAGGACATGTAGTGAAAGGCCGCCCTAGAGGAGGGTGTCAGGTTGGTGCAGGTCCCAATAGTTGCAGGCAGGCCCGTTTCTATGTTTTTTTCGAGTAGACTCGAGGTAATGGCCCGAGATGTTGTGATCACATGTATGGTTTCAGTCTGTCACAGAGATGCTTTTGTATTATTTGATCCGTGGTCTACCTTTTCATATGTGTCATTTTATTTTGCTCCTTATTTGGATATGCCTCGTGGTTCTCTTAATAATCTTGTTCATGTATCTACACCTCTTGGTGATTCCATTATGGTAGATTATGTATATCGGTATTATATGGTTATTATTGGGGGTATGAAACAAGAGTTGATCTTTGGCTGCTGAGTATGGTAGATTATGACTTAATTTTAGTTAAGGATTGTCTATCTCCGTATCATGCTCTTCTAGATTGTCACACTAAGATTGTAACGTTGGCTTTGCTGGGATTAACAAGGTTATAGTAGAGGGGTTATCTTGGTCATACACCTAGTAGGGTGATTTATTTCTAAAGGATCAACAAATAGTTGAGAAGGGATGTTTGTCTTATCTGGTTTTTGTTGAAGATACTAGTACTGATACTTCTACTGTTGATTCAGTCACAATAACGAGAGAGTTTCCAGTTGTTTTTTTCTACAGACCTACCAGGCATGCCACCCGATAGGCATATTGAATTTGGTACCTGGCACGCAGCCCATATTCCGCCGTACTATATAGCTCCAGCTGAGTTGAAGGAGTTGTTGGATAAGTGATTCATCAGGCTATGTTTTTATCCTTAGGGTGCACCGGTATTGTTTGTGAAAAAGAAGGATGGTTCTATGAGGATGAATTAATTATAGGCACTCGAACAAGGTCACTATAGAGAATAAGTATACATTGCCTCTTATTAATGATTTGTATGATAAGCTTCAAGGTTCCTGTAAGGCCCCATAAAATTTTATCTTAAACCCAGGGTTTCGTGGTGCCAAAGTAGACTTTTGAAGAAAATATTTGGAATTGCGGGGTGTTTTCTGCGTCTTATTTTGCAATCGCAGAACTGATATGCAAACTGAGGCAGAAATCTGGGCAATTGTTTTGGATCATTATGCGGTCCATTATGCGGTCGCATAATCACTTTGCGGGTCATATAACCCATCACATACCTAGCACAAAAATATATGAAGGGCAATTCTGCGGCGCATTATATGACTGCAGAATAGGTCTATGGACCGCAGATCGGTCACCGAGTGAGGCAGGAGTGCCCAGTTCTAGAGGGCCATTATGCAGCCCATTTTGCGGATCGCAGAAGCGTTATACGGTCGCATATGCGGCCGTAGATCTGTGTCGGGGCTTCACTTTTTTTATTTTATTTACCCGACCCTATTTTTATTAAAAGCCCTTGGGGCTCATTTTGAAAGAGAAATCTGATATTTTAGAGAAAATTGAGAGTGTTCTAAAGAGAGAGAAGGAAACCCTAGGGTAATTCTTCATCAATTCTTGCTCAAGACTTGGAGAATTCACAAGGAATTCTATATCTCTTGGTGATTCCATTACGGTAGATTGTGTATATCGGTATTATATGGTTATTATTGGGGGTATGAAACAAGAGTTGATCTTTGGCTGTTGAGTATGGTGGATTATGACTTAATTTTAGTTAAGGATCGTATATCTCCGTATCATACTCTTCTAGATTGTCACACTAAGATTCTAACGTTGGCTTTGCTGGGATTAACAAGGTTATAGTAGAGGGGTTATCTTTGTCATACTCCTAGTAGGGTGATTTATTTCTAAAGGATCAACAAACGGTTGAGAAGGGATGTTTGTCTTATCTGGTTTTTGTTGAAGATACTAGTACTGATACTTCTACTGTTGATTCAGTCCCAGTAACGAGAGAGTTTCCAGTTGTTTTTTTCTACAGACCTACCAGGTATGCCACCCGATAGGCATATTGAATTTGGTATTGATTTGGTACCTGGCACGTAGCCCATATCTATTTCGCCGTATCATATAGCTCCAGTTGAGTTAAAGGAGTTGTTGGATAAGTGATTCATCAGCCTAAGTTTTTCTCCTTAGGGTGTAACAATGTTGTTTCTGAAAAAGAAGGATGGTTCTATGAGGATGAATTGATTATAGGCACTTGAACAAGGTCACTATAGAGAATAAGTATGCATTGCCTCTTATTAATGATTTGTATGATAAGCTTCAAGGTTCCTGTAAGGCCCCATAAAATTTTATCTTAAACCCAGGGTTTCGTGGTGCCGAAGTAGACTTTTGAAGAAAATATTTAGAATTGCGGGGTGTTTTCTGCGTCTTATTTTTCAGTCGCAGAACTGATATGCAAACTGAGGCAGAAATCTGGGCAATTGTTTTGGATCATTATGCGGTCCATTATCACTTTGCGGGTCGTATAACCCATCGCTTACCTAGCACAAAAATATTTGTAGGGCAATCCTGCGGCGCATTATATGACTGCAGAATAGGTCTATGGACCGCAGACCGGTCATCGAGTGAAGCAGGGGTGCCCAGTTCTAGAGGGCCATTATGCGGCCCATTTTGCGGATCGCAGAAGCGTTATACGGTCGCATATGCGGCCGTAGATCTGTGTCGGGGCTTCACTTTTTTTATTTTATTTACCCGACCCTATTTTGATTAAAAGCCCTTGGGGCTCATTTTGAAAGAGAAATCTGATATTTTAGAGAAAATGGAGAGTGTTCTAAAGAGAGAGGAGGAAACCCTAGGGTAATTCTTCATCAATTCTTGCTCAAGACTTGGAGAATTCACAAGGAATTCGATACCTCTTGGTGATACCATTACGGTAGATTGTGTATATCGGTATTATATGGTTATTATTGGGGGTATGAAACAAGAATTGATATTTGGCTGCTGAGTATGGTGGATTATGACTTAATTTTAGTTAAGGATTGTCTATCTCCGTATCATACTCATCTAGATTGTCACACTAAGATTCTAACGTTGGCTTTGCTGGGATTAACAAGGTTATAGTAGAGGGGTTATCTTGGTCATACTCCTAGTAGGGTAATTTATTTCTAAAGGATCAACAAATGGTTGAGAAGGGATGTTTGTCTTCTGTTTTTTTGTTGAAGATACTAGTACTGATACTTCTACTGTTGATTCAGTCCCAGTAACGAGAGAGTTTCCAGTTGTTTTTTTCTACAGACCTACCAGGCATGCCACCCGATAGGCATATTGAATTTGGTATTGATTTGGTACCTGGCACGTAGCCCATATCTATTTCGCCGTATCATATAGCTCTAGTTAAGTTAAAGGAGTTGTTGGATAAGTGATTCATCAGCCTATGTTTTTCTCCTTAGGGTGTAACAATGTTGTTTCTGAAAAAGAAGGATGGTTCTATGAGGATGAATTAATTATAGGCACTCGAACAAGGTCACTATAGAGAATAAGTATACATTGCCTCTTATTAATGATTTGTATGATAAGCTTCAAGGTTCCTGTAAGGCCCCATAAAATTTTATCTTAAACCCAGGGTTTCGTGGTGCCGAAGTAGACTTTGGAAGAAAATATTTGGAATTGCGGGGTGTTTTCTGCGTCTTATTTTTCAGTCGCAGAACTGATATGCAAACTGAGGCAGAAATCTGGGCAACTATTTTGGATCATTAGGCGGTCCATTATGCAGTCGCATAATCACTTTGCGGGTCATATAACCCATCGCATACCTAGCATAAAAATATTTGTAGGGCAATTCTGTGGCGCATTATATGACTGCAGAATAGGTCTATGGACCGCAGACCGGTCACCGAGTGAGGCAGGGGTGCCCAGTTCTAGAGGGCCATTATGCGGCCCATTTTGCGGATCGCAGAAGCGTTATACGGTCGCATATGCGGCCGTAGATCTGTGTCGGGGCTTCACTTTTTTTTATTTTATTTACCCGACCCTATTTTGATTAAAAGCCCTTGGGGCTCATTTTGAAAGAGAAATCTGATATTTTAGAGAAAATGGAGAGTGTTCTAAAGAGAGAGGAGGAAACCCTAGGGTCATTCTTCATCAATTCTTGCTCAAGACTTGGAGAATTCACAAGGAATTCTATACCTCTTGGTGATTCCATTACGGTAGATTGTGTATATCGGTATTATATGGTTATTATTGGGGGTATGAAACAAGAATTGATCTTTGGCTGCTGAGTATGGTGGATTATGACTTAATTTTAGTTAAGGATTGTCTATCTCCGTAT